CTGGGTATATTGTAACCACATGAAACCAAAACGCCAATAGAAAAGAAATAAAGAACGTAACATCTGGGTGCACCCCTGGGAATTCTGTGTTGCCTTGGCAGCAGCGCAGTAGCAGGGCGCCCCTAAACTCTAACGCTGCCGGAGTTGGTCACCGATGGTGGTAACATTCTCGAGCGGTCAGGAGGCAGGTTGGAAACCTGGACCGACGTATACGCGGGTGGTGCAATAGGAACGAGCTCGGAGACAGATGGGGGCGCAATGCTGCGCGGGCTGAAAAATTGCGTGTTCACTTCATCCTGGGAGATGTCGACCACGGTGCCCTTAGTTCCGCTGCCTGGCTGTGCTTCGCAGGTCAGCTGAAGTGGGACCTTCAGGGATGCGGTGGGTGTCAGGATTCTAGAATTGGCGGCGTGGTAAGAGACGCTGAGCTCCAGGGCGTAGGCGCGCGCGATCAAGCAGGAGTAGAACGTCGGCACAAATGACTTGGCTTTGGGGAGGGTGACTGGCACAACGACCGACGCGGTATAGTAGGTGTTTCCAGCGAACGAGGCAGATGGACCCGGCAATGAGTCAGTAGAGGAGGTCGAGTGCATGGAGTCACGGCGTTCGAGATCGGTGTCAGTGTCGGTGTGTTTGGTCCATTGTGCGGATGCAACGCACATGGTGGACAGTGGTACAGTCTCGGTGTACATTGCGCGGCCCATCTGCGCCCAGGATTTGATACAGGCCGCGGACGGATAATCACCCCAGGGATCGGAGCTGTAAAAGGTCGATACTCGGAGTTTGCTCCATACAGTGCCTAGGCGAGGGGGCTGCTCGTTGCCCACCGGATCGAAGCGTAGCTGCATCGTGGCAACGGTGCTCACCGAATCGCAATTCCCGGTGTCGGATGGACTCAACTGCACTGGCTTGGGCTGTGCGGCAGCCAGCACCAATCGGCCCAGCTTCCCCCTCATTAAGCCACGTTTCACATCCTTTTCTTTGCGGACGCTGTACAAGCCATCATTGTCCTCCACATTCAGGGGTGGTTCCTCATCCACCGCAGGAATGACCCGCACCTTTTTCCCAACGGACACTAGCGTAACCGGCGAGGCGTTCTGGGCCATGGGCTTTCTCTGGAGGGTCACACGAACGAGATAGGAGATGCGGCACATTTCGGGGGCCATGTCGTCGATGACCGATTTGCGGTTGGTGGCTATCATGGGATCACCAAACGTGGGGGGCAGCAGCGTGTGCGATTGTTCGACATGTAGATTGGTTTTGGCGTGGTTACAGATATGAGGCAGTAGACGTTCAGGTACCACAAAGGTGAAGGGAAATTCATAGTTGCGCCCGGGTTCAAGGACCCGGGGGGTGGGATATGCAGACTCATCGATGGGCTGTCGCAGTCGGAGGAATGTGTGGTAAGCTCCAGTCCGGCCGGGCATCGATTGGCGCTCCACCGAGGTCCTCGATGTTCCTGAGCCAGTCAGTATGACTATATCCCTGGTGTTCTCCTGGTATTCTTTGAGCCAACATACCCTCGAATGTAATCTCTAGGTCATCAAAGCGAGTATCATGATCGACCGTGATGGTAACCGTACCCTTGATGGTATCTCCGGTGGTGAATGAAGGGACCAAGCCATCCGTTTGATTGGCGAGGATGATATCAACCTTAGGGCGGGAGCGAACCGTAAAGTTGGCAAGGGAGCTGGAGCCGCGCGTGATGATGGATGAGGTAGCCATTGCAGGTGTAGAAGATCCAATCGTATGTATACAAAGGAACCCGCGGTGGTAGCTGTTGGTAGTATAGAAGGGGATTGGCGAACGAATCACCAATTCACCCACGGGTAAGCAATTGGTAGGGTTGTAGTGGGAGACTGCAATGATGGAGAAAAGAAAATCTGGGCAGAAAGACTGCGGAGTAAATGCTTTTTAATATATTTAATGTCTTCTGAAAAAAAAAAAAAAAAAAAAAAGGAGATAATAATAAATAGAAATCAGTAATAAAAAAAGAATAAAAATTCAAGGGTGAATGTAGGGATGGGGTGACTGGCAGTTGCCGTTGGGTAATGGAAAAGCAGCGGTGGAGCAGTTCAATGTTCGAGAACTGGATTTGATGCTGTTCAGGAACAACTTCCGGTTTTGTTATTTGAGTCTCTGGCTATTCTCGGGCTTGCATTGCATCCTGGCTTGAATATGTACTTTTTTCACTTTCCAACTTGACGATGCAAGAATCGTCTACCCTCCTTCCACCCCCTTCTGTGAGTCATGCTGAACATGCACGTGCACGTGGTGATTGCTTTGATATTTGATCCAAGGGGATGTTAGAAGCGGTCCAGAAACATGCGGGTTAGGGGACCGAAAGAACGAGAAAAGCCTAAAAACGAAGCGCCCGAGCAAGCTGATAGGTCGACGAGCATCCTGCACGGGGACCGACCAATGCGATGGAGTCCATGGAATGAAGTCCGTGTGTGAAGTCAGTCGCTCGGGAAAGCAGCGATTGGCGGGCTTCCCATCGCGCCCTTTGATGACAACTGCCGACCAGCAAAGCCCTCCACGCCCTACAGCAAATTGGTTCGTAACCAGGTTTGATGCCCACCAGAGGAATGCGAATGACGCCAGTGCTAGCTGATCTTCCATGATTGTCGGTCTTCTAGAACGACTCTTATTATTTTGCAGGGTTGTTCTATACGCGTCTATCCTCTTAAGAGTTTGGTCTGCCTGCAAGAGTCTGGTCACAACAGCTCGAACATTCTTGACGAGCAGTCCCCTCGCGTGATAGTGGTAGATCTCACGCCATTGAGTTACGGACCTTCTGATCCTTACGCGAAAGAAAACCCCCCATCAACCAGTCGTTTATTAGTATTGAACTTCGTGACTTGTCAGCCTGTTCGTGTCCAAGTGCTGCGACATCGGAGCGACAGAAGACCATCCAATACAAGTTCTCGGGTGATCGGCGAAGGTTTTTGATGACGACGGATGGATCAAAGTCCACGCCCTTGAAGTGACAACGTTGGCAAGCCACCGGGGTAAGAAGCCCATCCCGATTGGCGCTGACCGCCGTGTTCTTCTGACCAGTCACTCCTGCTGGTTCGCATCGCTATTTTAGGTTGGTTCCGACCCTCGCTTGCTTTTTAATTCAATGCGCCCTTCAATACGCCCTGACACAATCTATCATCAAATTCTTGCGATGAACTACTATCAATTTAAAACTAGCGACCATAGACAAACTCGGCTTCTATAGATCCCACATCGGTTTCCCGGCCCCGTTCTCTCTTCATTCCGCACCCAAGCGAGAATAGCCGCGCCTGGTTGGCTCCAGACTTTTCCGCTCTTAACCGCTATCAGGGCCCTTTTTTCTTCACGGAATTTCCGCCTCCTGAGCTCGTGGAGCTCTTAATGGCTTTTAAAATTTCTGGGACCTCCCGTTCTAATGTATGGAGTACCCGCTTTAGATCTCCGATTCAACTCCACCGGTGCCACCACCTGATGCTGTTCTTCGCCTAGAGACGGGCCGGTTGGGTGCTTTTCCGTCCCTGTTTTCCGCGGCCAACACTTGTACCGAGGATGTTGGTCGCAGATTTTGCATCCTATATCAATAGGCTTAAAACCTAGGTTTATCTATTGCAACAGAATACGGGAATAATCCAATGCCGATTTGGGGTTATTATGTGCGAATATAAAGCAGAATCGGCATCCCGAACGGCCTCCAATTGCTGATCGTATAGCACATGCACATCACAATCACTCCAGCTAATGACAATACGTACAGCAAAGTATCTCCGAGGGCTGATCTGCATAATGCGCGCATTAGCCGTTGTACCAAGCTTTGAATGTCCGGAAACTTAAGACCACAGTGCCAAGTCATACCGATAGGAAGGTCGTTTTACTCACCTGCGCAGTTGCATATTCATAGCCTATGATTGGTAGCAAACAAGTCCAAAGTTTGGGCATGGCAAGCCCTTGGCCTGTCCAATTGGATTACAATCAGTTTGACAGCATACATTATGATCCACTATTGATGGATGCGTGCTTTCAGCTCAGTGCATTAATAACTTTTCTGATACTGTTTGAGTACTAGTAGACCAAACAAAACCAAAGTTATAATAACTATATACATTGTGGACCTCTCGGAAAAAGACAGACTACCGTAACAAACGTGACTGCATACCAGAGCCACGCGCATGCGCGTGGCGTAGTGGTAGAACATCACTAGGAAGGCCCTACTTGTATAAAAAGAGGTAGGGGGCCCTTTTCTTAGTAGTCAGAGATTATAGATTCAAATCCTGTAACGGGCACCTTCTTCTCTACCCGGAAATAAGCATATAACAAAGATTTCTAGAAGAACTTGACTCCTCTAGAACCTAGAGCTGGATCTAAGATTGAGCATATATATTATGGTTGGTAGCAAGAAGAATATAGCCTCCAGATCATGTCTTTATACATATTCTGCCTCGATAATTAGATCTAGATATAGCTTTACAGTCCACTCCTGTATAAGAAATTATAGAGAAGAGTTATATGGTAATAAAAAAAAAAAAAAAAAAGAAATAAACAGGGATCTGGATCCTGGAAACATCCAGCCTAAAATACGCAAGAAGATCATATCTATCTGTATTGAGGCTCCTCGACTTTATACAAGAATCTGTCCATTCGTTCACTAGATTGGGATCTATTACGGAGTTGGGAAGCCTTGATACCAGACAGGGAGTATCACTTATATAGCTGCACACGCAATCAGGCGGCTGCATTAGGTTAAGAATATAAACTAAACTAAAACTAAACTAAGAACTACCCTCAACTTGAAGCCTGACAGCTACCGTCCCGCATGTCATGGAGGAATCGGATGGTTCACCTCACTTCGGCAGCCAAAGCGATCGCCTCGAGATATATTTTGCAGATGCGAGAAATTATCGTTTGCTGGGACTCTTTCCACCGCAGCTCTAGCACGGCACACTTTATCGAAATACTGTTAGCTTGTCAAGAGTCGAAGTGGATGGATCAAGTAAAAGAGGGGGTCACAATACCACTCCATTATCATCGTAATTGAGAAAAGTCCATTGATAGGAATTCGTGTAAATGCCATAGATGGCTGCCTTGAGGCGGTTGTTTCTCCGAACCCGATTGATCACCGCTGATTTCCAAAATTAGCAAAAGACGCAACGAACATATTTCTATTCCTAAGTAATTATAGCAGAATAAACTCACAGATGGCCGTGCGAGTCCTCGCATCCGAATGAAGCACCTTATCCCTAAACACAAGAAGGTTCGTTTCCAAAGCCGGAATCGATCCATAACACAGCATGTAGTCCACCGTTTCCTGATAAGAATCAGGTACTCCCGTAACCCGACGGTCCACAACGAGAGGAACCTGACTGAAAAAGCTCGGTGTATAATCGGAGGGTTGCAAGGCCGTGGGATACCTCTTCTTCATTTCGGCTAGCAGTAGAAAGAGAATGGCATCTAGTCTGGGAAACGCCATTTCCGCACATTCGTGTCCTGTTCCAAGGGCTAGACTGTAGTCATCCATGAGACCATCTGTATGAAATTAGACTATTGTGAGTCAGTTCTCGATATGTGTTGAGATGGGTGGAGTCATACTGAAACTCGCAGGTAGTCTTATCTGTGATAATTCTTCGCCAAGTGGCGAATCTTCCCTGTGTGTCTCGCTGGGCACAACGGTGGACTCGTCGATGTTGTCGAGATAGAGGTCGAATGTGTTGAGGACGGCATTTTCGCCTTTGTCGTTGCCTTCGCAAGAGGGACTGGTATCAATATTTTCCATAATGTTGTTATTGTAAGTATGATTAAAATGAACGGGGTAATGAGAGGAGTTAGAATCTTTGCTAGAATTAAAGGCTGCGTAGAAAGGTCTGAGATGATGTTGCTTTGAAATTTCAAGCGCCAGAAGACACTGTTCCTGCCTCTTGCTTCTACAAGGCCTCTACTTACAGTCTCTCCTTCCTTCGGAGACCTGAACCTACATACGGATATCTCCAGTCATAAAATAATGCAACGCGGACCTTTTCATTTCTCAGAACACCAGAGCTGGTGGGGTAGAGAGCCATCACAACGCGACATTAGTTAAACTCCGGCGCAGCCCCCTGGATCTTAATATAAGCCTGCTGAACCTCCTTCCGACCAGTCATCACCCGCAACCACTGCGTGATAAGAGGGTACTTCTCCAGCGACAGTCCAGCGAAATCAAACTCTCGCACCCAAGGCTCAAAGTGGTAATCAACGGCTGTGATCCGTCCAGGTAAGACACTTTGCCCACCGGACTTCTGCAGCTGGCCCTCCAGCACCCCATAGCAACGCTCCGTCTGCGCCGCATACCGTCGCAGGGCGTCCTCGTTCTTGGTTCCATTGTAGTGCCTGATCCTTGTCAGCAAGGATGTCCAAAATCCCTTCTCACATATCCTGAATGAGTAAAGAAAGAATCCTACATACCTATACCAATTCGTCTGCCCCGTCATCGGCCCGAGCGTCGAAAGCAAAAAGTACTCCCACTTTTCAAAGTCCACTCTATCCTGCTCTGACCCTTTCGGACCTAGAAGATTGTCCTTGTCATAGATGCGCCGGACATAGTTCATAACAGCGCCCGATTCCCAGGACACCACACCAGTGTTGGGGTCTTCAAGGGCTGGTACACGACCGTTCTCGTTGATCTTGAGGAAGACCTCACCCTTGACACCCTTTTCTCGGTCGTCGCCGAATTCCCACAGTTTGACGTTGTAGGGAACCTGCAGGGCTTCGAGGGCGATGGCGATCTTGATGGGGTTGGGGCCCGTGGCGTGCGCGTGGAGGAGGAGGGGTTGCATTTTGGGTGGTTGATTACTTTCTCATGTAAAGTTAGAGTAATCAGGAAGTTGGATTAAGGTTGGAATAGAAGAAAGGGTATTGCTCTCCTTTATAGTGGGGTTGTTGAAAGGGCATTTGGAGTAACAGTTACTGTGAACAAAGTGGTGGTGACATCATCTCACTTGAAAACGGACGTCGAGTATGGGTGCCCAAAACTGACGTGTTCACAAGGGTCAAACGACCTTCTCCGATCTGCATACCACATGAAATGATTGATGTGACTTGCATATGAGGTGGGGTAGGTACATGTTGGAGAAGGATCTGGGGTATGTTTTCCGCTTTCGGTGCTACAGGTGGTCTTGGCAGTTATTTCCGTCGATTCGATATTGGTAAGAAGGGACATGAGGGAGTCAACTGCTAAGAGGCTAGGGACATCGTAATTACTGGCAGATATATACTGGCTCGTAGGATGCTCAGGTACACCCTGGAAGAGGCAGTCTCACTATACTTGTAAGACTTGACTGGTTGCAAAGGCATCCCTCGACAGCTTTATGGAGTTTAGAAGTCTCCCAGTCTGGGAAGGCGAAATGGCGAAATGGCGAAATGGCGAAATGGCGAAATGGCGAAGAGTGGGAAGAATAGGTGGGATATACTAGGTAAAATCGTATCAAGACTGATGGCATGTATCTTAGATAGCGCAGTACTTCCCTCTTCATCGTCCTTCTTTTCAGATATACGCCGGACATTTGGAAGCGGCCTCGGATAGGTCAATTAGTCATAGGACGCGGGTGTGAGAACAGACCGAGAGATCAGGAAGTCGTAAGTACGTTAAGAGGGAGAAGTATAGACAGTTTGAAAAGTAGTAGGCTTCAATAGTCTAATATAACAGGTATATGATCACTCGAACAGAAAGCGACGAAAAGTCCTGTAACTTTTATTTACAAGCACCAACCAAGATACGCCAAACATCCAAGTCTAGATAGTAAAATGTACTCACGATCAGGTCAACATGTCATCCAACCGCTCACCCAGAACATCCTCGATCTGCTTCACCCATTTGCGGACCTCTCTCTCCACGTTCTCGTCCTCGTCCTCCATCAGTTCACTGATGTAGGGCAGCATTTCAGGCAGGAGAGCAAGCCATTCCTCGCCGAGCTGCTCCGTGAGAGACTGCTGGGCCTTGAGCGCAGCGAGGCGCGTGTGCGGGTTCTCGCCGCCTGCAGTCTTGCCGCTGGGTCCGGCAGAGGGGCGGAGCAGACGCATCAGCACCGTGTTGAGCTCCTTGTGGTTGTCGGTGGAATCGGCAGCAACGGCGAGTTCCGTGAGGGCGGGCACGGCTTCCGCGATGACGATGGATGCCGTCGACGAGTTCTTGGCGTGGGCGAGCTGAGAGATCAAAGGCTGTGCGATCACCGTAAGGTGAGAGGGGGATTGCCAGAATTCTTAAACAAGTCAGCACACTGCGTCAGAAAACATTTGGGCTAAACATACCGTCTTGGTCATGCTCAAAGGAGTTCTTGAGCATGCGCATCGTGGCCAACCACAGGCTCTTGGTGTCCTGGTTCGCGGGGTTTGCCTTGCCCAGGACAGAGACCACATTTTCGAGGATGTAGCTCGAGTAACCGGTAACGATGGACTGCATTGGTTAGCACAAGGCCGAGTCGGGAAATCAAAGGAGAAACATACCTGGAGGGTACCAAAGAAGACTTGGAGGAACCTGTAGAATGTGGTAAGGCGTGCCAGGCTGCCTCGGGCATCCTTCTTCGGAACACCAGTGGTCGCCCACTCCAGCAGCTTGGTGAAGATAGGGCGGAATGTCGTGTCGTTAAGCTTGTAAATCATCTTGATCGTGACTTCGTTGATGATATCCTCGATCTCGTCCACATCAGACAATTCGAAGTTGGCCTGGGTATCCAGAGATACTTGTTCGCGACGCAGGTCGAATGCCTTGAACAGGATGCTGGTGAGAACTGAAATGTTCTTAACAGTCGCAGACTTCTGGTGCTTCTCGATAGCAAGGCTAACGACGCCCAGAGTCTCTCTCGTAGCGTCGGGGCCTGCCTTGACAGCATGCTGCCAGTTGCGATCGATAGCAGCGAATGTAGCAGCCACATCAACTTTGCGTGCCATGAGTTGGAGAGCTTCTTCGCGGCTCTCATCCTCAATACCCTCAGAAACAGCAGACTTGTAAGAGAGAACAAGAATCTTGTCCAGGTGAGAGCCAGACACCATGAAGGGGATATGGATGAAAAGTGCAGAGAAGAAAGAGAAGACGGCGTCGTGCAGGCGTGCATTCTCCTTTCCATCTTCCAGACTCTGCTCGAGCAGGGCAAGGGAACGGCTGAGGGCGTCAGGAAGCGCGGGAATCATAGCCTCTCCAAGGACCTCGGCCATAGATGCGAGACACAAGACACCCATGATGCGAATACGCTCATCATCCTGTCCAATGCAGGCTTCGCTAGCAACCACTTGGGCAGCATGGATGACCTTGGTCGGCTCCTTCCGGCCGTACTTCTCGGCAATGCGATCGATACAGGCCACTGCAGCGTGCTTAAGGAGAATGTCTGGCGATGACTGGACGATGTTGACCAGAGTGGGCAGGAAGTCGAGCATGCGGTGTTGCGAGGCACCGTCGCGTTCAGGATTCTGACGGAGGCGACCTTCCAGAAGTCGGAGAACCTTACGACGCAGTTCGTCGTTGCGACGTTGCAGCAGCACCTCAATTGTGTCGAGGAAGTCCACGAGCGACAGGGTACCAAACAGAGCGCTGAGAACATCGCCGCTGGCCTGGCTGACAGGCTTGACGTTCTGCATGGATTCGCCAATGGCCAGGACCTGCTCCAGAATGCGAGAGAAAAGCGTGCGGATCTGTCCAACAACCTTGTCTTCCTCTGTTGCGAAATCCTTGGCCATCTTCACCTTCAGAGACGAGTGCTTGAACAGATAAGCCAGTGCGCGAAGCAAGTCAACTGCAACCTTCTGGGGCTCGCGGCCATCGTCGCTACCAATGCCGAGAAGAACTTGGGAAATACCGGGCTTGGAGCTGAGTGAATCCTTGACCAGGTCCAAGTATTTGCTGTATGTCTATTGAAGAAGTCAGCAACGACGTGCAAAGATGCATGCAATATCAAATGACTTACGCTGAGTTCAACCGGTGCACTAGCATCAGATACCAACCCGGTCATCAGGATGAGAACATCCTTATCCAGAGCATACCGATTGGCGAGCATGGCCAGAACCGCGAACAAGAACTCCTGAGTTCCGAGCTTGGTGACCAAAGCATGGAACAAACGCAGGCGGCGGTGAGAAGGAATATGCTCAAAGGCAGCAGTGAAGCTGAGCAACAACTCGGAAGTTCCGGACACAACATCACGCTTCTGGTTGCGCAGGGACTGGATGAGAGCGGGGACAACTTGATCGATTGTCTGATCGATCACGGAGACTGAGTATTCATCGTCCTTGCGCAGGACACTAGAGCCCATGAAGGTGAAGATGGGCATCACGCTGTGGAGAACCAATTCAGGAGCAATGACGGACAAGCCCGCGACGAGCAGAAGAGCTGCGTTCTGTACTTGCGGGCTGTCAGTGGTACGAACACAGTCAACAACGAGGTCGGCCCGGATAACGGAGGTGTCGAATTGAGCCTTTGCAGTTCCCTTGGACCGATTGACGATGGCAAGAAGGCTGCCAAGCGTCAAGCTCAGCAAGTAGCTCAAGCCAGACTGGATCTGGGCCTTGAAATGATGAAGTGCGGCCAAAGTCTGGAACAATCCATCGGCCAACTCAGGATGAGCCTCAGGGGTCGAGCTGTCGACCAGTTCCAGGATGAAAGTCATCTTCTCCATGAGCTGGCTGAGCTTGGCTTCATCCTTGATGGTCATAGCGACCATGTTGTTCTGACTAGTGCGTCTCCGCTTGGGCGCCGGTCCAAGAGACTCCATGTCCGTGATAGACACGGGGATCTTCCGAAGGAATTGGAGAAGC